GTGAAATATGTGAAGAATTTTATTCAATAGGAATTAAAACTCATCAAAATTAGGAACTCTCATTGCAACTCTATCATGATTTTGATCGCAGAGTGTATAAGTAATGTCAAGTCTTTAATGTCATCCTTTCAAACCATCATTGCTCATTTTATTGTTTGTTGATTTTTATTTTCCTTTTTCTCTTCCCATTTACTTTTCCATCTCCGTATATCACTTACTATGAACGGGGTGTCTCTTATTACCAGGTTTCTTGACGTCAAGGATCGACCAGTTCGGTAAAATCAATTCGAAATTCCAAAAAAGGTCATCCTTATAAATAAATTCCATTTCTGTGCTCCTTTTCTTTTTATTTTTTCAGTCGTGTGAGTTGTTGTAAAGTTAACTGTGCTTCTAAAAATTTAGAATTGACAGTAATTATGTCCATTTATTCAACTACTTCTTTGTCAGATGATTCTACATTCTTTCCTTGCAAAATATCTAGCAGTTCCTCTTTTTTAAAGACTTCTTGCCGCCCAGTACAATTGTTACCTTCCACATGATCGTTGACATCGGATGATCTTAAGACTTCATTTAGTTCTATACTTTGCCCCAATTTACTCCAAATATTATAAGTAGCATGTTCATAAGAATTTGTCTCATTTAAGTCATTTTCATTAATATCATGATCATTTTTTTCAACTAGTATTTCAGTCTTAAACCTGCTTTTATCTTTATAGGATAAATCTGTATGGTTTACTTGAACTGCTATTTTGTTACTTAATTGTAATGCCGATGTTTTTTGTTATTAACTTCAACTGATGATGATTGTGTATTAGAAACTTCCATAGCAGAATTAGTTGACTGAATTTCAATTTCATAGTAGATTTTTTATACAAGTCTTTGACTGTGAAGTCCGTATTCGGTGCTTTTGTTTGATCTGTCCCTTTTTTTGTATTATTAACAGGTTGGCTAGAAATGTTTTCATTTATAGTTAATGTGTCAGGACCTTGAACGGCCGCTATTTTCTGTGACGTTTATGCCTTATTTGTTTCAACAGTTACTTCATTATTTTATTCCATCAATTCGACGCTTTCTTGTGTAATTACCATTTCTGTTATTATATTGTCTTCTTCAGCCAGTCCAGCTTTACGCATATCGACGACACCGTTCGATTTGTGACACACATACTGCCCTATTCATTCTACATTTTCTTCGATAACAACATTGTTTTTTTACTTGATCAATAGATGGGTTTAATTCAGGTGTTTCTTCTATAATTTCCATTTTGCGACTAATTCTTATTTAACAGTAAGACTTAAAAATAAACAGGTTAATCTAATATGTTGGTAAATAAATCAAATAAACGCAATTTTAACTTTAAAATTAAAAACATGTCGAGGATTACATTATTCCACCAATATATACATTTAAATTCATAATTAGCGTAAGCAAGTAGCGTATTTTAGCAAAAGCAAAAAAACATAATAATACGGCGATCAGCTGTGTGTTTTAAAGTACTGGAGAACTAGAGTATAAATAGAAAATGTGAAATATGTGAAGAATTTTATTCAATAGGAATTAAAACTCATCAAAATTAGGAACTCTCATTGCAACTCTATCATGATTTTGATCGCAGAGTGTATAAGTAATGTCAAGTCTTTAATGTCATCCTTTCAAACCATCATTGCTCATTTTATTGTTTGTTGATTTTTATTTTCCTTTTTCTCTTCCCATTTACTTTTCCATCTCCGTATATCACTTACTATGAACGGGGTGTCTCTTATTACCAGGTTTCTTGACGTCAAGGATCGACCAGTTCGGTAAAATCAATTCGAAATTCCAAAAAAGGTCATCCTTATAAATAAATTCCATTTCTGTGCTCCTTTTCTTTTTATTTTTTCAGTCGTGTGAGTTGTTGTAAAGTTAACTGTGCTTCTAAAGATTTAGAATTGACAGTAATTATGTCCATTTATTCAACTACTTCTTTGTCAGAAGATTCTACATTCTTTCCTTGCAAAATATCTAGCAGTTCCTCTTTTTTAAAGACTTCTTGCCGCCCAGTACAATTGTTACCTTCCACATGATCGTTGACATCGGATGATCTTAAGACTTCATTTAGTTCTATACTTTGCCCCAATTTACTCCAAATATTATAAGTAGCATGTTCATAAGAATTTGTCTCATTTAAGTCATTTTCATTAATATCATGATCATTTTTTTCAACTAGTATTTCAGTCTTAAACCTGCTTTTATCTTTATAGGATAAATCTGTATGGTTTACTTGAACTGCTATTTTGTTACTTAATTGTAATGCCGATGTTTTTTGTTATTAACTTCAACTGATGATGATTGTGTATTAGAAACTTCCATAGCAGAATTAGTTGACTGAATTTCAATTTCATAGTAGATTTTTTATCCAAGTCTTTGACTGTGATTTCCGTATTCGGTTCTTTTGTTTGATCCGTCCCTTTTTTCGTATTATGATCAGATTGGCTAGAAATGTTTTCATTTATAGTTAATGTGTCAGGACCTTGGACGGCCGCTATTTTCTGTGACGTTTCTGCCTTATTTGTTTCAACAGTTACTTCATTATTTTATTCTATCAATTCGACGCTTTCTTGTGTAATTACCATTTCTGTTATTATATTGTCTTCTTCAGCCAGTCCAGCTTTACGCATATCGACGACACCGTTCGATTTGTGACACACATCCTGCCCTATGCATTCTACATTTTCTTCGATAACAACATTGTTTTTTTACTTGATCAATAGATGAGTTTAATTCAGGTGTTTCTTCTATAATTTCCATTTTGCGACTAATTCTTATTTAACAGTAAGACTTAAAAATAAACAGGTTAATCTAATATGTTGGTAAATAAATCAAATAAACGCAATTTTATCTTTAAAATTAAAAACATGTCGAGGATTACATTATTCCACCAATATATACATTTCAATTCATAATTAGCGTAAGCAAGTAGCGTATTTTAGCAAAAGCAATAAAAACATAATAATACGGCGATCAGCTGTGTGTTCTAAAGTACTGGAGAACTAGAGTATAAATAAAAAATGTGAAATATGTGAAGAATTTTATTCAATAGAAATTAAAACTCATCAAAATTAGGAACGCTCATTGCAACTCTATCATGATTTTGATCGCAGAGTGTATAAGTAATGTCAAGTCTTTAATATCATCCTTTCAAACCATCATTGCTCATTTTATTGTTTGTTGATTTTTATTTTCCTTTTTCTCTTCCCATTTACTTTTCCATCTCCGTATATCACTTACTATGAACGGGGTGTCTCTTATTACCAGGTTTCTTGACGTCAAGGATCGACCAGTTCGGTAAAATCAATTCGAAATTCCTAAAAAGGTCATCCTTATAAATAAATTCCATTTCTGTGCTCCTTTTCTTTTTATTTTTTCAGTCGTGTGAGTTGTTGTAAAGTTAACTGTGCTTCTAAAGATTTAGAATTGACAGTAATTATGTCCATTTATTCAACTACTTCTTTGTCAGAAGATTCTACATTCTTTCCTTGCAAAATATCTAGCAGTTCCTCTTTTTTAAAGACTTCTTGCCGCCCAGTACAATTGTTACCTTCCACATGATCGTTGACATCGGATGATCTTAAGACTTAATTTAGTTCTATACTTTGCCCCAATTTATTCAAAATATTATAAGTAGCATGATCATAAGAATTCGTCTCATTTAAGACACTTTCATTAATATCATGATCATTTTTTTCAACTAGTATTTCAGTCTTAAACCTGCTTTTATCTTTATAGGATAAATCTGTATGGTTTACTTCAACTGCTATTTTGTTACTTAATTGTAATGCCGATGTTTTTTTGTTATTAACTTCAACTGATGATGATTGTGTATTAGAAACTTCCATGGCATAATTAGTTGACTGAATTTCAATTTCATAGTAGATTTTTTATCCAAGTCTTTGACTGTGAATTACCGTATTCGTTTCTTTTGTTTGATCTGTCCCTTTTTTCGTATTATTAACAGGTTGGCTAGAAATATTTTCATTTATAACTAATATGTCAGGACCTTGGACGGCCGCTATTTTCTGTGACGTTTCTGCCTTAATTGTTTCAACAGTTACTTCATTATTTTATTCTATCAATTCGATGCTTTCTTGTGTAATTACCATTTCTGTTATTTCATTATCTTCTTCAGCCAGTCCAGCTTTACGCATATCGACGACACCGTTCGATTTGTGACACACATCCTGCCCTATGCATTCTACATTTTCTTCGATAACAACATTGTTTTTTTACTTGATCAATAGATGAGTTTAATTCAGGTGTTTCTTCTATAATTTCCATTTTGCGACTAATTCTTATTCAACAGTAAGACTTACAAATAAACAGGTTAATCTAATATGTTGGTAAATAAATCAAATAAACGCAATTTTAACTTTAAAATTAAAAACATGTCGAGGATTACATTATTCCACCAATAAATACATTTCAATTCCTAATTAGCGTAAGCAAGTAGGGTATTTTAGCAAAGGCAAAAAAACATAATAATACGGCGATCAGCTGTGTGTTTTAAAGTACTGGAGAACTAGAGTATAAATAAAAAATGTGAAATATGTGAAGAATTTTATTCAATAGAAATTAAAACTCATCAAAATTAGGAACTCTCATTGCAACTCTATCATGATTTTGATCGCAGAGTGTATAAGTAATGTCAAGTCTTTAATGTCATCCTTTCAAATCATCATTGCTCATTTTATTGTTTGTTGATTTTTATTTTCCTTTTTCTCTTCCCAATTACTTTTCCATCTCCGTATATCACTTACTATGAACGGGGTGTCTCTTATTACCAGGTTTCTTGACGTCAAGGATCGACCGGTTCGGTAAAATCAATTCGAAATTCCTAAAAAGGTCATCCTTATAAATAAATTCCATTTCTGTGCTCCTTTTTCTTTTTATTTTTTCAGTCGTGTGAGTTGTTGTAATGTTAACTGTGCTTCTAAAGATTTAGAATTGACAGTAATTATGTCCATTTATTCAACTACTTCTTTGTCAGAAGATTCTACATTCTTTCCTTGCAAAATATCTAGCAGTTCCTCTTTATTAAAGACTTCTTGCCGCCCAGTACAATTGTTACCTTCCACATGATCGTTGACATCGGCTGATCTTAAGACTTCATTTAGTTCTATACTTTGCCCCAATTTACTCCAAACATTATAAGTAGCACGTTCAGAAGAATTTGTCTCATTTAAGTCATTTTCATTAATATTGATCATTTTTTTCAACTAGTATTTCAGTCTTAAACCTGCTTTTATCTTTATAGGATAAATCTGTACGGTTTACTTCAACTGCTATTTTGTTACTTAATTGTAATGCCGATGTTTTTTTGTTATTAACTTCAACTGATGATGATTGTGTATTAGAAACTTCTATAGCGGAATTAGTTGACTGAATTTCAATTTCATAGTAGATTTTTTATCCAAGTCTTTGACTGTAATTACCGTATTCGGTTCTTTTGTTTGATCCGTCCCTTTTTTCGTATTATGATCAGATTGGCTAGAAATGTTTTCATTTATAGGTAATGTGTCAGGACCTTGGACGGCCGCTATTTTCTGTGACGTTTCTGCCTTAATTGTTTCAACAGTTACTTTATTATTTTATTCTATCAATTCGACGCTTTCTTGTGTAATTACCATTTTTGTTATTTCATTGTCTTCTTCAGCCAGTCCAGCTTTACGCATATCGACGACACCGTTCGATTTGTGACACACATCCTGCCCTATGCATTCTACATTTTCTTCGATAACAACATTGTTTTTTTACTTGATCAATAGATGAGTTTAATTCAGGTGTTTCTTCTATAACTTCCATTTTGCGACTAATTCTTATTCAACACTAAGACTTACAAATAAACAACAGGTTAATCTAATATGTTGGTAAATAAATCAAATAAACGCAATTTTAACTTTAAAATTAAAAACATGTCGAGGATTACATTATTCCACCAATAAATACATTTCAATTCATAATTAGCGTAAGCAAGTAGTGTATTTTAGCAAAAGCAAAAAAAAACATAATAATACGGCGATCAGCTGTGTGTTTTAAAGTATTGGAGAACTAGAGTATAAATAAAAAATGTGAAATATGTGAAGAATTTTATTCAATAGAAGTTAAAACTCATCAATATTAGGAACTCTCATTGCAACTCTATCATGATTTTGATCGCAGAGTGTATAAGTAATGTCAAGTCTTTAATGTCATCCTTTCAAACCATCATTGCTCATTTTATTGTTTGTTGATTTTTATTTTCCTTTTTCTCTTCCCATTTACTTTTCCATCTCCGTATATCACTTACTATGAACGGGGTGTCTCTTATTACCAGGTTTCTTGACGTCAAGGATCGACCAGTTCGGTAAAATCAATTCGAAATTCCTAAAAAAGGTCATCCTTATAAATGAATTCCATTTCTGTGCTCCTTTTTCTTTTTTATTTTTTTCAGTCGTGTGAGTTGTTGTAAAGTTAACTGTGCTTCTAAAGATTTAGAATTGACAGTAATTATGTCCATTTATTCAACTACTTCTTTGTCAGAAGATTCTACATTCTTTCCTTGCAAAATATCTAGCAGTTCCTCTTTTTTAAAGACTTCTTGCCGCCCAGTACAATTGTTACCTTCCACATGATCGTTGACATCGGATGATCTTAAGACTTCATTTAATTCTATACTTTGCCCCAATTTACTCCAAATATTATAAGTAGCATGTTCATAAGAATTTGTCTCATTTAAGTCATTTTCATTAATTATGATCATTTTTTTCAACTAGTATTTCAGTCTTAAACCTGCTTTTATCTTTATAGGATAAATCTGTATGGTTTACTTGAACTGCTATTTTGTTACTTAATTGTAATGCCGATGTTTTTTTGTTATTAACTTCAACTGATGATGATTGTGTATTAGAAACTTCCATGGCAGAATTAGTTGACTGAATTTCAATTTCATAGTAGATTTTTTATCCAAGTCTTTGACTGTAATTACCGTATTCGTTTCTTTTGTTTGATCTGTCCCTTTTTTCGTATTATGATCAGATTGGCTAGAAATGTTTTCATTTATAGTTAATGTGTCAGGACCTTGGACGGCCGCTATTTTCTGTGACGTTTCTGCCTTAATTGTTTCAACAGTTACTTTATTATTTTATTCTATCAATTCGACGCTTTCTTGTGTAATTACCATTTTTGTTATTTCATTGTCTTCTTCAGCCAGTCCAGCTTTACGCATATCGACGACACCGTTCGATTTGTGACACACATCCTGCCCTATGCATTCTACATTTTCTTCGATAACAACATTGTTTTTTTACTTGATCAATAGATGAGTTTAATTCTGGTGTTTCTTGTATAATTTCCATTTTGCGACTAATTCTTATTCAACACTAAGACTTACAAATAAACTTAAAAGGTTAATCTAATATGTTGGTAAATAAATCAAATAAACGCAATTTTAACTTTAAAATTAAAAACATGTCGAGGATTACATTATTCCACCAATAAATACATTTCAATTCATAATTAGCGTAAGCAAGTAGCGTATTTTAGCAAAAGCAAAAAAACATAATAATACGGCGATCAGCTGTGTGTTTTAAAGTACTGGAGAACTAGAGTATAAATAAAAAATGTGAAATATGTGAAGAATTTTATTCAATAGAAATTAAAACTCATCAAAATTAGGAACTCTCATTGCAACTCTATCATGATTTTGATCGCAGAGTGTATAAGTAATGTCAAGTCTTTAATGTCATCCTTTCAAACCATCATTGCTCATTTTATTGTTTGTTGATTTTTATTTTCCTTTTTCTCTTCCCATTTACTTTTCCATCTCCGTATATCACTTACTATGAACGGGGTGTCCCTTATTACCAGGTTTCTTGACGTCAAGGATCGACCAGTTTGGTAAAATCAATTCGAAATTCCTAAAAAAGGTCATCCTTATAAATATATTTCATTTCTGTGCTCCTTCCTTTTCTTTTTATTTTTTCAGTCGTGTGAGTTGTTGTAAAGTTAACTGTGCTTCTAAAGATTTAGAATTGACAGTAATTATGTCCATTTATTCAACTACTTCTTTGTCAGAAGATTCTACATTCTTTCCTTGCAAAATATCTAGCAGTTCCTCTTTTTTAAAGACTTCTTGCCGCCCAGTACAATTGTTACCTTCCACATGATCGTTGACATCGGATGATCTTAAGACTTCATTTAGTTCTATACTTTGCCCCAATTTACTCCAAATATTATAAGTAGCATGTTCATAAGAATTTGTCTCATTTAAGTCATTTTCATTAATATCATGATCATTTTTTTCAACTAGTATTTCAGTCTTAAACCTGCTTTTATCTTTATAGGATAAATCTGTATGGTTTACTTCAACTGCTATTTTGTTACTTAATTGTAATGCCGATGTTTTTTTGTTATTAACTTCAACTGATGATGATTGTGTATTAGAAACTTCCATAGCAGAATTAGTTGACTGAATTTCAATTTCATAGTAGATTTTTTATCCAAGTCTTTGACTGTGATTTCCGTATTCGGTTCTTTTGTTTGATCTGTCGCTTTTTTCGTATTATGATCAGATTGGCTAGAAATGTTTTCATTTATAGTTAATATGTCAGGACCTTGGACGGCCGCTATTTTCTGTGACGTTTCTGCCTTAATTGTTTCAACAGTTACTTCATTATTTTATTCTATCAATTCGACGCTTTCTTGTGTAATTACCATTTCTGTTATTTCATTATCTTCTTCAGCCAGTCCAGCTTTACGCATATCGACGACACCGTTCGATTTGTGACACACATCCTGCCGTATTCATTCTACAGTTTCTTCGATAACAACATTGTTTTTTACTTGATCAATAGATGGGTTTAATTCAGGTGTTTCCTTATATAGTTTCCAATTTGCGACTAATTCTTATTCAACACTAAGACTTTCAAATAAACTTTACAGGTTAATCTAATATGTTGGTAAATAAATCAAATAAACGCAATTTTAACTTTAAAATTAAAAACATGTCGAGGATTACATTATTCCACCAATAAATACATTTCAATTCCTAATTAGCGTAAGCAAGTAGCGTATTTTAGCAAAAGCAAAAAAACATAATAATACGGCGATCAGCTGTGTGTTTTAAAGTACTGGAGAACTAGAGTATAAATAAAAAATGTGAAATATGTGAAGAATTTTATTCAATAGAAATTAAAACTCATCAAAATTAGGAACGCTCATTGCAACTCTATCATGATTTTGATCGCAGAGTGTATAAGTAATGTCAAGTCTTTAATGTCATCCTTTCAAATCATCATTGCTCATTTTATTGTTTGTTGATTTTTATTTTCCTTTTTCTTTTCCCATTTACTTTTCCATCTCCGTATATCACTTACTATGAACGGGGTGTCTCTTATTACCAGGTTTCTTGACGTCAAGGATCGACCAGTTCGGTAAAATCAATTCGAAATTCCTAAAAAGGTCATCCTTATAAATGAATTCCATTTCTGTGCTTCTTTTCTTTTTTTTTTTTTCAGTCGTGTGAGTTGTTGTAAAGTTAACTGTGCTTCAATAAAGATTTAGAATTGACAGTAATTATGTCCATTTATTCAACTACTTCTTTGTCAGAAGATTCTACATTCTTTCCTTGCAAAATATCTAGCAGTTCCTCTTTTTTAAAGACTTCTTGCCGCCCAGTACAATTGTTACCTTCCACATGATCGTTGACATCGGATGATCTTAAGACTTCATTTAGTTCTATACTTTGCCCCAATTTACTCCAAACATTATAAGTAGCATGTTCATAAGAATTTGTCTCATTTAAGTCATTTTCATTAATATAGATCATTTTTTTCAACTAGTATTTCAGTCTTAAACCTGCTTTTATCTTTATAGGATAAATCTGTACGGTTTACTTCAACTGCTATTTTGTTACTTAATTGTAATGCCGATGTTTTTTTGTTATTAACTTCAACTGATGATGATTGTGTATTAGAAACTTCTATAGCGGAATTAGTTGACTGAATTTCAATTTCATAGTAGATTTTTTATCCAAGTCTTTGACTGTAATTACCGTATTCGTTCTTTTGTTTGATCTGTCGCTTTTTTCGTATTATGATCAGATTGGCTAGAAATGTTTTCATTTATAGGTAATATATCAGGACCTTGGACGGCCGCTATTTTCTGTGACGTTTCTGCCTTAATTGTTTCAACAGTTACTTTATTATTTTATTCTATCAATTCGACGCTTTTTTGTGTAATTACCATTTCTGTTATTTCATTATCTTCTTCAGCCAGTCCAGCTTTACGCATATCGACGACACCGTTCGATTTGTGACACACATCCTGCCCTATTCATTCTACATTTTCTTCGATAACAACATTGTTTTTTTACTTGATCAATAGATGAGTTTAATTCAGGTGTTTCTTCTATAACTTCCATTTTGCGACTAATTCTTATTCAACAGTAAGACTTACAAATAAACAGGTTAATCTAATATGTTGGTAAATAAATCAAATAAACGCAATTTTAACTTTAAAATTAAAAACATGTCGAGGATTACATTATTCCACCAATAAATACATTTCAATTCCTAATTAGCGTAAGCAAGTAGGGTATTTAAGCAAAAGCAAAAAAACATAATAATACGGCGATCAGCTGTGTGTTTTAAAGTATTGAAGAACTAGAGTATAAATAAAAAATGTGAAATATGAGAAGAATTTTATACAATAGAAGTTAAAACCCATCAATATTAGGAACTCTCATTGCAACTCTATCATGATTTTGATCGCAGAGTGTATAAGTAATGTCAAGTCTTTAATGTCATCCTTTCAAACCATCATTGCTCATTTTATTGTTTGTTGATTTTTATTTTTCTTTTTCTCTTCCCATTTACTTTTCCATCTCCGTATATCACTTACTATGAACGGGGTGTCTCTTATTACCAGGTTTCTTGACGTCAAGGATCGACCAGTTCGGTAAAATCAATTAGAAATTCCCAAAAAAGGTCATCCTTATAAATGAATTCCATTTCTGTGCTCTTTTTTCTTTTTATTTTTTTCAGTCGTGTGAGTTGTTGTAAAGTTAACTGTGCTTCTAAAGATTTAGAATTGACAGTAATTATGTCCATTTATTCAACTACTTCTTTGTCAGAAGATTCTACATTCTTTCCTTGCAAAATATCTAGCAGTTCCTCTTTTTTAAAGACTTCTTGCCGCCCAGTACAATTGTTACCTTCCACATGATCGTTGACATCGGATGATCTTAAGACTTCATTTAGTTCTATACTTTGCCCCAATTTACTCCAAATATTATAAGTAGCATGTTCATAAGAATTTGTCTCATTTAAGTCATTTTCATTAATATAATGATCATTTTTTCAACTAGTATTTAAGTCTTAAACCTGCTTTTATCTTTATAGGATAAATCTGTATGGTTTACTTGAACTGCTATTTTGTTACTTAATTGTAATGCCGATGTTTTTTTGTTATTAACTTCAACTGATGATGATTGTGTATTAGAAACTTCTATAACAGAATTAGTTGACTGAATTTCAATTTCATAGTAGATTTTTTATCTAAGTCTTTGACTGTGATTTCCGTATTCGGTTCTTTTGTTTGATCCGTCCCTTTTTTCGTATTATGATCAGATTGGCTAGAAATGTTTTCATTTATAGGTAATGTGTCAGGACCTTGGACGGCCGCTATTTTCTGTGACGTTTCTGCCTTATTTGTTTCAACAGTTACTTCATTATTTTATTCCATCAATTCGACGCTTTCTTGTGTAATTACCATTTTTGTTATTTCATTATCTTCTTCAGCCAGTCCAGCTTTACGCATATCGATGACACCGTTCGATTTGTGACACACATCCTGTCGTATGCATTCTACAGTTTCTTCGATAACAACGTTGTTTTTTACTTGATCAATAGATGAGTTTAATTCAGGTGTTTCCTTATATAATTTCCAATTTGCGACTAATTCTTATTCAACACTAAGACTTACAAATAAACTTTACAGGTTAATCTAATATGTTGGTGAATAAATCAAATAACCGCAATTTTAACTTTAAAATTAAAAACATGTCGAGGATTACATTATTCCACCAATAAATACATTTCAATTCATAATTAGCGTAAGCAAGTAGCGTATTTTAGCAAAAGCAAAAAAACATAATAATACGGCGATCAGCTGTGTGTTTTAAAGTACTGGAGAACTAGAGTATAAATAAAAAATGTGAAATATGTGAAGAATTTTATTCAATATAAATTAAAACTCATCAAAATTAGGAACTCTCATTGCAACTCTATCATGATTTTGATCGCAGAGTGTATAAGTAATGTCAAGTCTTTAATGTCATCCTTTCAAATCATCATTGCTCATTTTATTGTTTGTTGATTTTTATTTTCCTTTTTCTATACTTTGCCCCAATTTACTCCAAATATGTATAAGTAGCATGTTCATAAGAATTGTGTCTCATTTAAGTCATTTTCATTAATATCACGATCATTTTTTTCAACTAGTATTTCAGTCTTAAACCTGCTTTTATCTCTATAGGATAAATCTGTATGGTTTACTTCAACTGCTATTTTGTTACTTAATTGTAATGCCGATGTTTTTTTTATTAACTTCAACTGATGATGATTGTGTATTAGAAACTTCTATAGCAGAATTAGTTGACTGAATTTCAATTTCATAGTAGATTTTTTATCCAAATCTTTGACTGTGATTTCCGTAATCGGTTCTTTTGTTTGATTTGTCGCATTTTTCGTATTATGATCAGATTGGCTAGAAATGTTTTCATTTATAGGTAATATGTCAGGACCTTGGACGGTTTCTGTGACGTTTCTGCCTAAATTGTTTCAATAGTTACTTCATTTTTTATTCTATCAATTCGACGCTTTCTTGTGTAATTACCATTTCTGTTATTTAATTATCTTCTTCAGCCAGTCCAGCTTTACGCATATCGACGACACCGTTCGATTTGTGACACAAATCCTGCCCTATGCACTCTATATTTTCTTCGATAACAACATTGTTTTTTTACTTGATCAATAGATGAGTTTAATTCTGGTGTTTCTATTATAATTTCCATTTTGCGACTAATTCTTATTCAACACTAAGACTTACAAATAAACAAAGGTTAATCTGATATGTTGGTAAATAAATCAAATAAACGCAATTTTAACTTTAAAATTAAAAACATGTCGAGGATTACATTATTCCACCAATAAATACATTTCAATTCCTAATTAGCGTAAGCAAGTAGGGTATTTTAGCAATAGCAAAAAAACATAATAATACGGCGATCAGCTGTGTGTTTTAAAGTATTGGAGAACTAGAGTATAAATAAAAAATGTGAAATATGTGAAGAATTTTATACAATATGAAGTTAAAACTCATCAATATTAGGAACTCTCATTGCAACTCTATCATGATTTTGATCGCAGTGTGTATAAGTAATGTCAAGTCTTTAATGTCATCCTTTCAAACCATCATTGCTCATTTTATTGTTTGTTGAGTTTTATTTTCCTTTTTCTCTTCTCATTTATTTTTCCATCTCCGTATATCACTTACTATGAACGGGGTGTCTCTTATTACCAGGTTTCTTGACGTCAAGGATCGACCAGTTCCGTAAAATCAATTCGAAATTCCCAAAAAGGTCATCCTTATAAATGAATTCCATTTCTGTGCTTTTTTCTTTTTATTTTTTTCAGTCGTGTGAGTTGTTGTAAAGTTAACTGTGCTTCTAAAGATTTAGAATTGACAGTAATTATGTCCATTTATTCAACTACTTCTTTGTCAGAAGATTCTACATTCTTTCCTTGCAAAATATCTAGCAGTTCCTCTTTTTTAAAGACTTCTTGCCGCCCAGTACAATTGTTACCTTCCACATGATCGTTGACATCTTCAGCCAGTCCAGCTTTACGCATATCGACAACACCGTTCGATTTGTGACACACATCCTGCCCTATTCATTCTACATTTTCTTCGATAACAACATTGTTTTTTTACTTGATCAATAGATGAGTTTAATTCAGGTGTTTCTTCTATAACTTCCATTTTGCGACTAATTCTTATTCAACAGTAAGACTTACAAATAAACAGGTTAATCTAATATGTTGGTAAATAAATCAAATAAACGCAATTTTAACTTTAAAATTAAAAACATGTCGAGGATTACATTATTCCACCAATAAATACATTTCAATTCCTAATTAGCGTAAGCAAGTAGAGTATTTAAGCAAAAGCAAAAAAACATAATAATACGGCGATCAGCTGTGTGTTTTAAAGTATTGAAGAACTAGAGTATAAATAAAAATGTGAAATATGAGAAGAATTTTATACAATAGAAGTTAAAACTCATCAATATTAGGAACTCTCATTGCAACTCTATCATGATTTTGATCGCAGAGTGTATAAGTAATGTCAAGTCTTTAATGTCATCCTTTCAAACCATCATTGCTCATTTTATTGTTTGTTGATTTTTATTTTTCTTTTTCTCTTCCCATTTACTTTTCCATCTCCGTATATCACTTACTATGAACGGGGTGTCTCTTATTACCAGGTTTCTTGACGTCAAGGATCGACCAGTTCGGTAAAATCAATTCGAAATTCCCAAAAAGGTCATCCTTATAAATGAATTCCATTTCTGTGCTTTTTTTCTTTTTATTTTTTTCAGTCGTGTGAGTTGTTGTAAAGTTAACTGTGCTTCTAAAGATTTAGAATTGACAGTAATTATGTCCATTTATTCAACTACTTCTTTGTCAGAAGATTCTACATTCTTTCCTTGCAAAATATCTAGCAGTTCCTCTTTTTTAAAGACTTCTTGCCGCCCAGTACAATTGTTACCTTCCACATGATCGTTGACATCGGATGATCTTAAGGCTTCATTTAGTTCTATACTTTGCCCCAATTTACTCAAAATATTATAAGTAGCATGTTCATAATAATTTGTCTCATTTAAGTCATTTTCATTAATATAATGATCATTTTTTTCAACTAGTGTATCAGTCTTAAACCTGCTTTTATCTTTATAGGATAAATCTGTATGGTTTACTTGAACTGCTATTTTGTTACTTAATTGTAATGCCGATGTTTTTTTGTTATTAACTTCAACTGATGATGATTGTGTATTAGAAACTTCTATAGCAGAATTAGTTGACTGAATTTCAATTTCATAGTAGATTTTTTATCCAAGTCTTTGACTGTGATTTCCGTATTCGGTTCTTTTGTTTGATCTGTCGCTTTTTTCGTAGTATGATCAGATTGGCTAGAAATGTTTTCATTTATAGGTAATATGTCAAGACCTTGGACGGGCGCTATTTTCTGTGACGTTTCTGCCTTAATTGTTTCAACAGTTACTTCATTATTTTATTCTATCAATTCGACGCTTTCTTGTGTAATTACCATTTCTGTTATTTCATTATCTTCTTCAGCCAGTCCAGCTTTACGCATATCGACGACAACGTTCGATTTTTGACACAAACCTGCCCTATGCACTTTATATTTTCTTCGATAACAACATTGTTTTTTACTTGATCAATAGATGAGTTTAATTCAGTTGTTTCTATTATAATTTTCATTTTGCGACTAATTCTTATTCAACACTAAGACTTACAAATAAACTTTAAACAGGGTAATCTGATATGTTGGTAAATAAATCAAATAAACGCAATTTTAACTTTAAAATTAAAAACATGTCGAGGATTACATTATTCCACCAATAAATAAATTTCAATTCATAATTAGCGTAAGCAAGTAGTGTATTTTAGCAATATCAAAAAAACATAATAATACGGCGATCAGCTGTGTGTTTTAAAGTACTGGAGAACTAGAGTGTAAATAAAAAATGTGAAATATGTGAAGAATTTTATTCAATATGAATTAAAACTCATCAAAATTAGGAACTCTCATTACAACTCTATCATGATTTTGATCGCAGTGTTTATAAGTAATGTCAAGTCTTTAATGTCATCCTTTCAAACCATCATTGCTCATTTTATTGTTTGTTGAGTTTTATTATCCTTTTTCTCTTCTCATTTATTTTTCCATCTCCGTATATCACTTACTATGAACGGGGTGTCTCTTATTACCAGGTTTCTTGACGTCAAGGATCAAACACTTCGGTAAAATCAATTCGAAATTCCAAAAAAGTCATCCTTACAAATAAATTCCATTTCTGTGCTCCTTTTCTTTTTATTTTTTTCAGTTACTTGTATCACCTTGCTCCAAAATTTTCCCTATATGAGAATTTTGACTAATAGAATTTTTTTAGCGCATATATCTTCATCTATTAACATAGTATCATCATTGTATTCAACTCTTATACACTGCTCGTTATTGTTTGGTTTTGGAATACTCTGTGATACCCCAGGTTGCTCATCTTCATCATCAGAAAGTATATATAAAGTGTTGGATAACTTGCATATCATTGTTGATTTTTTCTTCTCTTCTATCTTTTTTCCATCTACTTTTTTGTCGCCTTTCACCACATTGGTTTTCTTTAACTCATGTACATTTTCTTGAACCCCTTTTTTCGTAATTAATTGAGTTTCTGATTGATGAACAATTTTTAAATCAATGTTATTTACTTCCACACCTTGCTCCCCATCCAAATGTGCTTCAGCAAAATTAATAGCTTCACTGCAATTTTTAACACAAGCAGTCTTTAAATTCGTTTCACTAATAATTCCCGTAGTGGACTTTGCATATACTTCATTTTGTTCAGCTAATGCTTCGATATCTTTGGTAGTAAGTGTTTGTTGCGCAGCAGAATTGCAACCCTTAATATTAAGAGTAGAACAAACATATTTCACATTTTTGCAATTGTTTGGTACAACTCTGAATACATTATCGTCATTTTGTTCTTTAATATTTTCTAACATATCGACAATTTGTCAAATCCTGCACTACGCACGCGGCGGCACCGGCGGCGGCGGCGGTGGTAGCCAGCGAGCCGGCCGGCAGAGCTAGCGCCCGTCGCGAGCGCCCGGCTCAGCGGGCACAACGCCGGGCGGCCGCTCCTGTTGGCGCTGCGGCAAGACGCATGGCGCAGACAGGTGCCTGTTCAAACACTACAACTGTGACGAGTGCGGTAAAAGAGGGCATATTAAAGTGATGTGTAAAGAAGTGCGCGGTAGTGGCGGCCGGCATAATTATGTGAGTGACGAATCGGACGACGGTTTGTACAACATTGAAGTGGCAGCGCGAGGTAACAAACCCTACTTTATTAACTTGTTAATTGACAATAATACAGTCGAATGTGAAATGGACACCGGTAGTCGCATTTCTGCTATTAGCGAAGACATGTATTATAGTATGTTTTCTTATAGACAAATTAAAAATGATAATTTTACGCGGCTATTCAGGTTCCCAAATCAAGTCTCTCGGTTACATTGAGGTAGACGTTTGCCTAGGCAATACGAAAGAAAAATCATTACGTCTGTATATCATTAAAGACGGGGCACGACCCTTGTTAGGTAGAGATTGGATGCGCGCTTTAAAAATTACCCAAATTAAACTAAAAAATAGATGATGGATTTGTGAACCAATTGTGTAAAGAGTTTCCGGAATTTTTTTTGACAAATTAGGCACATGCAAGCAAACCATTTTTGGCTTTGGTCCATTTGTCTACCCTCGTTCTGTAGTCGCGCGCGAGTACCTCATCCCCCACGTGGAACTCCCTGTGTGCACCGGCGGAGCGTGCTACCTGCTGTTTTGCTTGGCGCGCACCGCGGCCGCCACGTCCGGTCGCAGTGCTTCCAGCCGGCTGCGCAACCGCTGCCCCTGCAAAGCAACCGCCGGTGACACGCCCGTCGTCGCGTGCTCACAGTTTCGATATTTAAAAAGGAATCTGGTAAGAGCCTTGTTGATGTCCTCACCCTCTTACAGCGCTCTCTTAATCACTGTTTTTACAGCATTCTCCGCCGCACCATTACCCTGAGGTCGATAAGGGGCCGTGGTGGTATGCATAATACAATTATTTTTACAATATATTTTCCACTCATGGGAGGAAAAAGGTGGTCCGTTATCCGTCACGAGCTGCGATGGCAAACCGAATCTCGCAAAAAATACTTCTCATAACTTTAATCGTGGAATCTGCACTCGTATTACGCATCGGAATAGCTTCAATCAATTTAGAGTGTGCATCTACTATAATTAAATAACGCGTGCCCCCACAATCTGCAAAATCAGCATGTACACGCTTGTTCCACGGGTGCAACGGAAATTCCCAAGGGTGCAGCTGCGCCCGTGGTGGCGCGTCCAGCACGGTACGACACGTAGCACATGACCTGCAAACCTCCTCGATATCCCGATCTAAGCTCGCCCAATACACGTAATTCCGCGCTAAACTTTCGCAGCTCTGGCCCGGCGGCCAACCACAAAGAACATATCGTTTAATATTGCACAACAAAGCGTCATGTTCAGTTTCTCTAGCGATGTCTTTACAACAAACTGGCAAGGAATCACCTATTAGATTTAAATAATCCACCGAGTCCTCGAAGCGACCTTTCCCAGGCAACGTCAATCGCGACAAAGCATCGGCCGGCCCGTTGTCCGCCGATCGAACGAATTCTATCGCGAAATCATATGCGGCTAGCCGCGCTGCCCACCTCTGCAAACGACTAGCCGCCGTTTGTGGGATACCTCCCTTAGCCCCAAAAATATAAGTCAGCGGTTGGTGGTCTGTACGCAAAATGAAATGCCTTCCAAATAAATATTGATGATGTTTAGTGATTCCGAATAAGATGGCGAGCGCTTCCTTGTCAAGCTGACTGTAATTGCGCTCGGTTGCATTGAGTGTGCGAGACACGCAGCTGACGGGACGCTCGCTGCTGTCTGGGTAACGGTGTACCAGCACAGCTCTCAGTCCGTACGCGCTACTATCAACCGACAAGACGAGCTCACGCCCCTCCTCGTAATGCGCCAATACTCGCTCGCTTAGGAGAAATCGCTTCGCTTTGACAAACGCTTTCTCACACTGTACAGGAACGGGAGGCAGGTGCTCTTCAATGATTGATTTATTGAACGTTTGTTGGTTATATTTAAGTAATCTTATTGCTAACAGTGTGTATCAGGTAATAATCAAAATTTAAACAGACAGATCTTATAACTAATTGCACGACGTGCTGTGACTGGTTGCCAACAATGTCTAGCTCTGATTCGTAGATAAAAGTTTGGTGTTCCGGTGCGTCGCTAGGCGGCATTAGTAGTCGCGCCAACATGCCGACCGCCTTGGAAGCTCCAGCTTCCAATAATCTATCTAGTTTAGTTTTTACGTGGTAGAGCCATGCTGCAGCTATATTAATTGTATAGTTGCAGCACGAATGGGTCGGCTCAACCGGGGAAGGACCACGCTCTCACAGAATACCAGCGTCAAAATAGCAGATTAATGCTGCTGTGTTTCGTATGGTGAGTGTTGAGAACCGGAAACCCTTTTTACCGTGTCCATGACAGCCCTCACCCTAATTATTTATCTTTACCACTACTACTTTATCATTTATCTTTCTTATGGTAGGAAGTAATTTTCTTTATTGTCTAGATTTACTGGAGATTAGATGATCACAATTAAACCACACTGTATAAGATCAATACTTAATTAATTCTTCATTGATAAGTTGTGTTTGAGTTCTTTTAGCCATTAATTATATTGCGTTATCACACTAATAACTGAATTAATTACAATTTATGTATCAAAACTATTATTCGCATTACATTGGATCCCCGGTAGTCCGACAAACACTTTGCAGGGCAGTGTCGAACTATCGAATTTGTCGGATTATAGAGTACCGCCTAAGATACCCTATAGTCCGATTTTTTTTTACAAAAGAGTACCTTGTAATCCGACAAATCACAGATCCAATGATAAGATTACAAATCGTACTTCGTTATGTATGTCAAATTTAGTAAATTAAACAACACAATAGAAAGAAAACGTTTTATTATAAAATTAACGTCATTAATGCTATAAAATTTACCAAAAATCTTTTTTTATTATTTCCTTATAAAAATATTTAGCTTTCATGGCCAACATGGGTCCCGAAATAGGCGAATGCCTATTTCTTTCCTGAAGAAACCACATGTATAAAGCTTCTTCCACTTCTGGATGTTCAGCTTTTTTGAGTGTCTATCTCTTGCCTGGCCCACAGTCAGTAGTTGACACGAACTGTTTAATCTTCTCGTGGTTTTTTTTAAATGTCATAAATTGTAGATCGGCTACGCCGTATTCACTTGCTAAACTACTGAAAGATTCATTACGAGAGATTTAGTCTAAAATATCACATTTTTCTTTAATTGTCAGTGTTTTGTGCTTTTACTTCTGAGCTTGAGACGACATTACTAGGTACGTATACGTAATACACAATGAATAAACAGTAAACAATGAACACACGCTAGGCCGCACCGCTATCCTGTCTCATGTATGTATGTAGTCAAACTAAACAATCAGAATCAAAACAATACCCTACGCGTCGAGCTCAATATTGATGTTACGTACAAGTTGTAACTTGTTCAATCGTGCATTAGCGAATACATGTATGTAATAGACGATGTCGGATTATAGGGGACGCCGCATTAGCCAGGGGGCAGATTACTGGGGCTCCACTGTATTTAAGGTGTCTGTTGTTACATATTTGAAATTTGGTGCTTATTAGTCATATTGCATACACTTCGTAAATAATTGAAAAATGAACAGATTGATGACAGAGTACTCTTGAACAAATATTTTGTTGTCTTATTTTTGCAACTGTGCTGTAGCTTGATTAACATTTGGGCAACATCTTACAACTTTGTGGCAAGCTGTCTAACTACTCGTGTGGTAAAATGAAGTTCATCACTTTTATTATACCAACTCACTCCTAAAGTCTTAGTTTGGCAATGTTCGCCTAAAGACAAGTCTTTAGTTATGTCGTGGTCACTGATATCAACGTTAAACAACCACTTACGCAACGGTAAACAAGCCGAGTTTAAAGTATTTCGTAACTTCTCACAGGTATCGAGTAAGCTATTTAAATCATTGTCACCTAGGATGACGTCATCAACGAAAAAATCCTCTCGGATTACTCTCGCGTGGTTTATTGTAAATCTCGTTGATCTGGTTGTAAAAGAAAATTCCGAAACAATTTCTCAACGTTCGCAAAACCCACGTATTTATATTGCCTAAAGCGTAATAAAATGCTAAAAATGTCATTCTGAAGTGGTGGACTGTTGGAGTGGAAGTTGGTTGTACTGCTATTTTCATTAATAACGCCGTGATGCGGCAAAAAATAGTGGGGTGACTCATAAGTTTCAACGCAACTCATATGACCGAGCCTTTCATATTCCCCCATAAAATCTACGTATTTTTCCCTAAATTGTGGCCAACGAGCGAATTTTCGTTCTAACGACAACAAACGTTTTTCAGCCGCTGTGTAACTGTCTCCGAGCACATCAGCTGATTCCTTTAAAGGAATGCGTACGGAAAACCTACCATCTTCCATACGTTTTGTCGTTTTGACAAAAATGTCTTCGCACGCACGTTCGTCAGCACTAAGAATGTTTTATTAACGTTATTGTTTATCTCTTCGAGTTCCTAAAACAATTTCAACTGTGTGTCAATTGTTTGAGAGAAATTACATTGCACACTCTTAACGGGAAGTGGGTTATTATGTAAAGGTTCCGACATTATCCAACCCAATTTTGTATTTTGTAAATAAGGTCCTTTATTCAACTTAATTTTACCACCACACAATAATTCTCAGAACTTATCCGCGCCTATCAATATATCGATGTCTGACGGTGAGTGAAGCAAGTTTAATATTATCAGGTAAACTCATATTATTTACATCGACACTATATGTGGGTAATTGATTTGTAATGCACGGCAACACTAAATAATCTATGTTCATAAAAACGAATTTAACCTTGAACGTAATTTTATTTTACAAATGTGGGTGGACTGCGAAATTGTTTGACCTACCCCAGCAACGTGATAAGTGGACTGTATTAACGGTGCATTTAATGTTTCACATAATGATTTCTTTATGAAACAATGTTGACTACCATTATCAAGCAGAATGCGTACAGTGTGATATTTGTTATTATAATCTGCTATGTCCACTAACGCTGTGGACAGCAAAACGTTGGGTAATAACGAATATTCCTGATTACTATTTTGCGATTCTGAATGGTTAGCCGTAACTTGTAATGATGACGAGACAGTGGAGACGTTAACGGTGATCGGTTGTGCTGATGCACTCGACCAGCTAACTATTGATGCGACATCTACCTGGCCATCAATGTGAAGCAAACTGTTGTGCCTTTTATCACACAACCTACATGGCCCAAACTTAACTGTACAACTGTCAAGTAGGTGGATTGCGCGTAAACAATTGATGCACAGTTGATGCGTTTTAACTATCTTATTCCTTTCTTGGACAGATGAATTAAGAAACCTTGAACAGGAATAAATCGCGTGATCACCATGACACATCACACACACGCGGCTTTGTTTTAGTTTCGTAGTAGTAGTTTTAGGGTAATCCTTATTGTTATTGTTAGTAACGTTCATAGCAACATGAGTATGTGTATATTGTTTCTTAGAGCGCGTTTGTTCGCCGCCTTTGTTCTCGTGGGATTTATTATGGTTCATTTTTATCATTTCTAAAACGTCGGCGCGGTACTTGAGAAATTTAAGTAAGTCATCCAGTTTCAAAGCTGACCTTGATTCAATTAACGAACTAGCTGTAACTTGAAAATCTTCCCATTCGCGTTCAGTGGCCTGATCTAATTTGGAAACGACCATGTAAATGATTAAAGTGTCCCATGAATCTGTTGGTTCACCTAACGTTTTAAGGGCACGCAAATTTCTCAACACAATATCTATTAAGTTCCTAATCTGGGAAGCGGACTCGTTATTTAACAATGGAATTTTAAATAATGCTTTCACATGATTATGAACCAATAGTCGCGGATTATTAAATCTATTCTCTAATAGCTCCCATGCGTGAGAATAGTTAGTAGCCGTAAATTCTAATGCACTTATGACGTGTGCCGCGGTACCGGACAATGACGATTTTAAATAATGAAATTTTTGAACAGGACCTAAATCATCGCGATCATAAATCATACTAACGTAAGAATTTTTAAACTCTAGCCAGCAATCGTATGAACCGTCAAAAGAAGATATTTTAATATCGGGTAACTTTATGCCTATCGGCTTACATGTTGAAACACTAGACTTGTCAGATACTTCCTTTCTCAATAAAACTTTTGCAGAAGTTACAGCACGATAAAATTGATCTTCGAAACGATCTCTCTCTTCCAACTGTTTTACAAGATCGAGATCTTCCGTTACTTCTTCTTCAATTTTAGACTGTATTTCACTATACATCTCTATCAAACTCGAAGTACTCTCGACACGTAAATTTAATTCTAATGACTGTTTATCAGTCAAGGGTAAAGTGAACTTTTTAACATATTTTTCAAACAGAGTTAATCGACCTTTTAAAACTCCTCTTTTCTTAATTAAATCTGACAATTTAGGCTCACTCATTTTGGGAATTAAAGAAATCAAGAGTACTTACAGTTGCAAATTTGTAGATGCGTGCGAACCAAGGTGGGTGCCGTTGCGCAGGTAGGTACCGCCACTTGAGAACTGGAAATGGAATATCAGCGCGAAATCAACACCTATCGAAGGATGAGATGGGGAAACGGACGGGAAGTTCAGACCTGCCACTCCTGTCTGTCGATGCGTTAACGTTGCAGCTCTTCGCTCGATACGTGAATATCCTCTTCGTATTTTGATGCGACGAATCTTCGGAGATTTCAAGCTTGAACTCCTTATTCGGCTCGATAGGACCACTTTATGTACTGCAACGGGAGGCAGGTGCTCTTCAATGATTAATTTATTGAACGTTTGTTGGTTATATTTAAGTCGTCTTATTGCTAACAGTGTGTATCAGATAATTGAAATTTAAACAGACAGATCTTATAACTTTGCACGACGTGCTGTGATTGGTTGCCAACAATGACGAGCTCTGATTCGTAGATAAAAGTTTGGTGTTCCGGTGCGTCGCTAGGCGGCGTTAGTAGTCGCGCCAACACACAATTAGAGTCCCAATTCCAGCTGATATTCTTTTTAAATAAATTATGTAACGGTTGTAATAAAGTGCTCAAATTTTGAATAAATCGCCCGTAATAATTTAGCATTCCCAAAAAACTTTTAAGTTGAGGTACATTGTCCGGTCTAGGCGCGCTGGAAATGGCCTCCAATTTTTCTGGGTCTGGTCGCAAGCCATTTTTATTAATGATAAAACCAAGATATCTAACATTGACTTGCAAAAATTTACATTTGTTAAGTTTAACGGTAAGCCCCATGTGCCGTAACCGTTCGAGTAGAGCTCTTAAATTTTTCAAATGTTCTACATTGTTCGATCCCGTAACACAAATATCATCCAAAAATACAACGCACCTCGCCACCCCTCGCAGAGTCTCCTCCATTAATTTTTGAAATTTCTCCGGTATACACGACAAACCGTAAGGAGTACGCCGGTACGCAAACATACCCATGTGTATAGTGATCGCGGTATAGGGCTGCGAATCGTCTGATAGAATGCACTGCTCGTACGCGTGCCTTATATCTATTTTTAAGAACTTTTCTCCTCCCCTAAGATTTGCGAATAATTCCTCAATGCGCGGTAGAAGATAATAGTCCTTTTTTAACTTAGGGTTAATTGTGATCTTATAATCACCACAAATGCGTATATCGCCATTTCTTTTTACCACGGGAACTATTGGGGTGCCGTAATCAGAATAATCGACGCGATAAATAGAACCGTCAGCCTCGAGGCGTGTTAATTCCTTTTCTACCCGTGCACGTAGTGCTAGTGGCACCGGTCTCGCCCGCACATAAGCTGGTTCATTATCGGAAAGCTGTAATCGAATGGTTTGCTTGCATGTGCCTAATTTGTCACAAAAAACTTCCGGAAACTCTTTACACAATTGCTTCACAAATCCATCATCTATAATTGCATTGAGTTTAATTTGGGTAATTTTTAAAGCGCGCATCCAATCTCTACCTAACAAGGGTCGTGCCCCGTCTTTAATGATATACAGACGTAATGATTTTTCTTTCGTATTGCCTAGGCAAACGTCTACCTCAATGTAACCGAGAGACTTGATTTGGGAACCTGAATAGCCGCGTAAAATTAAATTATCATTTTTAATTTTTCTATAAGAAAACATACTATAATACATGTCTTCGCTAATAGCAGAAATGCGACTACCGGTGTCCATTTCACATTCGACTATATTATTATCAATTAACAAGTTAATAAAGTAGGGTTTGTTACTTCGCGCTGCCACTTCAATGTTGTACAAACCGTCGGCAGATTCGTCACTCACATAACTATGCCGGCCGCCACTACCACGCACTTGTTTACACATCACTTTAATATGCCCTCTTTTACTGCACGTCACAGTTGTAGTGTCTGAGCCATGCGTCTTGCCGCAGCGCCAACAGGAGCGGCCGCCCGGCGCTGTGCCCGCAGAGCCGGGCACTCGCGGCAGGCGCTCGCTCTGCCGGCCGGCTCGCTGGCTACCACCGCCGCCGCCGCCGGTGCCGCCGCGCGCGTAGTGCAGGATTTGACAAATTGTCGATATGTTAGAAAATATTAAAGAACAAAATGACGATAATGTATTCAGAGTTGTACCAAACAATTGCAAAAATGTGAAATATGTTTGTTCTACTCTTAATATTAAGGGTTGCAATTCTGCTGCGCAACAAACGCTTACTACCAAAGATATCGAAGCATTAGCTGAACAAAATGAAGTATATTCAAAGTCCACTACGGGAATTATTAGTGAAACGAATTTAAAGACTGCTTGTGTTTAAAAATTGCAGTGAAGCTATTAATTTTACTGAAGGACATCTGGATGGGGAGCAAGGTGTGGAAGTAAATAACATTGATTTTTAAAATTGTCCATCAATCAGAAACTCAATTAATTACGAAAAAAGGGGTTCAAGAAAATGTACATGTGTTAAAGAAAACCAATGTGGTGAAAGGCGACAAAAAAGTAGATGGAAAAAAAGATAGAAGAGAAGAAAAAATCAACAATGATATGCAAGTTATCCAACACTTTATATATACTTTCTGATGATTAAGATGAGCAACCTGAGGTATCACAGAGTATTTCAAAACCAAACAATAACGAGCAGTGTATAAGAGTTGAAGACAATGATGATACTATGTTAATAGATGAAGATATATGCGCTAAAAGATTCTATTAGTCAAAATTCTCATACAGGGAAAATTTTGGAGCAAGGTGATACAAGTATATGTTAAAAAAATATATATCCAAATGAAAATGATGCAACAGAATCAGCAACTGAAAAAATTGTACCGAATTTGAAAAAAAAGTAATATGTGCAATGAAAACAAAGCCTTAAAAAATTTGAATACGAGACATATATTGCCACGCTATTTTCTTAAAACTCGCAAAAAAAAATTTGGCTGATATGGCCAGAGAGGACTTTGAGGAACTATTTATTTTAAAATTTGTTGAAAGTTTTGTAGATAGAAGTAGTTTAGAAGATATTAAATCTCAGCTTAGAACTATGGCACTTACCGTTGAAAAATATAAAAAGAAAGCTATGATGTTGACTAAGCAAAATAGAGATCTGGAAGTGGTTTTAAAATCAATACAAGAAGAACAAAAAAAGGCACCAATAACATCTCTAAAAATAACAAGATCTGTCGGTACACAAGTATTGATGACTGATCATCAAAAGAAAATGCACACAAGGAAGAAATTCGAATCCTACATCATATTGTTATATCGTTACGGAAATGTTAACTTGCAATACACTTGAGAAATCTCAAAATAACTCAAGTCAACAAATTTCTGTTCCAAAATTAGTACCAGCTGCAAATAATATAGCAACTAACTCAAACATTATAACACAAACAAACACTATTGCTCCTGGAAAACCGCAACAGACAAACAATATATTACCAAAAAGTGTAAGCAATTCCCCAACAACACAGAAACCTGAAAAAAGACCTAGGCAGCTATCGGTAACTGTAAACTTAACTGACGATGAACCCCCTACAAAGATGGCTTCAAGAAGTTCTCCTGTTCCACCTGTTAGATACATACCACCACAAAATCTAATAGCACCTAGATACCCAGCACCTCTTCCCGATGCTATGAAACAATATCAACCTCCTAATTGGAAAGCTTTGCCACCACCGCCGAACTTGAAACTATCAAAAGTTGAAAACGGAATTACTATTTCGTGGAAAATAGATGGCTATGAAAATGATAATTATGAGGAGATAGCAAGTTATCAATTATATGTATATCTAGAAACAACTTCACCACCTAGTACTGAATTATGGAAGAAAAGAACCGAATATGGAAATCACAGTCAAACACTTGGATTATAAATCTACTATGAAATTGAAATTCAGTCAACTAATTCTGTTATGGAAGTTTCTAATACACAATCATCATCAGTTGAAGTTAATAACAAAGAAACATCGGCATTACAATTAAGTAACAATATAGCAGTTCAAGTAAAACATACAGATTTATCCTATAAAGATAAAAGCAGGTTGAAGACTGAAATACTAGTTGAAAAAAAATGATCATGATATTAATGAAAATGACTTAAGGAGAAAAATTCTTATGAACATGCTACTTATTATATTTTGAGTAAATTTTGTCAAAGTATAGAACTAAGCGAAGCCTTAAGATCATCTGATGTCAACGATCATGTGGAAGGTAACAATTGTACTGGGCGGCAAGAAGTCTTTAAAAAAGAGGAACTGCTAGATATTTTGCAAGGAAAGAATGTAGAATCTTCTGACAAAGAAGTAGTTGAATAAATTTACATAATTACTGTCAATTCTAAATCTTTAGAAGCACAGTTAACTTTACAACAACTCACACGACTGAAAAAAATAAAAAGAAAAGGAGCACAGAAATGGAATTTATTTATAAGGATGACCTTTTTGGGAATTTCGAATTGATTTTACCGAACTGGTCGGTCCTTGATGTCAAGAAACCTGGTAATAAGAGACACCCCGTTCATAGTAAGTGATATACGGAGATGGAAAAGTAAATGGTAAGAGAAAAAGAAAAATAAAAATCAACAAACAATAAAATGAGCAATGATGGTTTGAAAGGATGACATTAAAGACTTGACATTACTTATACACTCTGCGATCAAAATCATGATAGAGTTGCAATGAGAGTTCCTAATTTTGATGAGTTTTAATTCATATTGAATAAAATTCTTCACATATTTCACATTTATTATTTATACTCTAGTTCTCCAGTACTTTAAAACACACAGCTGATCGCCGTATTATTATGTTTTTTTTGCTTTTGCTAAAATACACTACTTGCTTACGTAATTATGAATTGAAATGTTTATTGTGGAATAATGTAATCCTAATGTTTTTTTTAGTAAAATTGCGTTTATTTGATTTATTTACCAACATATTAGATTACCCTGTTTAAAGTTTATTTGTAAGACTTAGTGTTGAATAAGAATTAGTCGCAAAATGGAAATTATAAAAGAAACACCTGAATTAAACTCTCTATTGATCAAGTAAAAAACAATGTTGTTATCGAAGAAAATGTAGAATGCATACGACAGGATGTGTGTCACAAATCGAACGGTGTCGTCAATATGCGTAAAGCTGGACTGGCTGAAGAAGACAATATAATAACAGAAATGGTAATTACGCAAGAAAGCGTCGAATTGATGGAATAAAATAATGAAGTAACTGTTGAAACAAATAAGGCAGAAACGTCACAGAAAATATCGGCCGTCCAAGATCCTGACATATTAACTATAAATGAAAACATTTCTAGCCAATCTGATCATAATACGAAAAAAGGGACGGATCAAACAAAAGAACCGAATACGGAAATCACAGTCAAAGACTTGGATAGAAAATCTACTATGAAATTGAAATTCAGTCAACTAATTCTGTTATAGAAGTTTCTAATACACAATCATCATCAGTTGTAGTTAATAACAAAAAACATCGGCATTACAATTAAGTAACAAAATAGCAGTTCATGTAAAACATACAGATTTATCCTATAAAGATAAAAGCAGATTTAAGACCGAAATACTAGTTGAAAAAAATGATCATGATATTAATGAAAATGACTTAAATGAGACAAATTCTTATGAACATGCTACTTTTAATATTTTGAGTAAATTGGGGCAAAGTGTAGAACTAAATGAAGCCTTAAGATCATCCGATGTCAACGATCATGTGGAAGGTAACAATTGTACTGGGCGGCAAGAAGTCTTTAAAAAAGAGGATCTGCTAGATATTTTGCAAGGAAAGAATGTAGAATCTTCTGACAAAGAAGTAGTTGAATAAATGGACATAATTACTGTCAATTCTAAATCTTTAGAAGCACAGTTAACTTTACAACAACTCACACGACTGAAAAAAATAAAAAGAAAAGGAGCACAGAAATGGAATTTATTTATAAGGATGACCTTTTTGGGAATTTCGAATTGATTTTACCGAAGTGGTCGATTCTTGACGTCAAGAAACCTGGTAATAAGAGACACCCCGTTCATAGTAAGTGATATACGGAGATGGAAAAGTAAATGGGAAGAGAAAAAGGAAAATAAAAATCAACAAACAATACAATGAGCAATGATGGTTTGAAAGGATGACATTAAAGACTTGACATTACTTATTTTTTTTTTTTTGGAGAAATTTTTTATTTTTTTGTTTGTTTTTTTTTTTTTATTTTTTTTTTTTGTGTGGTTTCCTTTTTGGGGGTTGCGGGGTGCGATTTTTTTTGGGCCCCGGGAGGGGGGTTTTTGGGAGGGGGTTATACACTCTGCGATCAAAATCATGATAGAGTTGCAATGAGAGTTCCTAATTTTGATGAGTTTTAATTCATATTGAATAAAATTCTTCACATATTTCACATTTATTATTTATACTCTAGTTTTCCAGTACTTAAAAACACACAGCTGATCGCCGTATTATTATGTTTTTTTTGCTTTTGCTAAAATACGCTACTTGCTTACGCTAATTATGAATTGAAATGTATTTATTGGTGGAATAATGTAATCCTCGACATGTTTTTAATTTTAAAGATAAAATTGCGTTTATTTGATTTATTTACCAACATATTAGATTACCCTGTTTAAAGTTTATTTGTAAGTCTTACTGTTGAATAAGAATTAGTCGCAAAATGAAAATTATAATAGAAACAACTGAATTAAACTCATCTATTGATCAAGTAAAAAACAATGTTGTTATCGAAGAAACTGTAGAATGCATACGACAGGATGTGTGTCACAAATCGAACGGTGTCGTCGATATGCGTAAAGCTGGACTGGCTGAAGACGACAATATAATAACAGAAATGGTAATTACACAAGAAAGCGTCGAATTGATAGAATAAAATAATGAAGTAACTGTTGAAACAAATAAGGCAGAAACGTCACAGAAAATAGCGGCCGTCCAAGGTCCTGACACATTAACTATAAATGAAAACATTTCGAGCCAATCTGATCATAATACGAAAAAAGGGACGGATCAAACAAAAGAACCGAATACGGAAATCACAGTCAAAGACTTGGATAAAAAATCTACTATGAAATTGAAATTCAGTCAACTAATTCTGTTATAGAAGTTTCTAATACACAATCATCATCAGTTGAAGTTAATAACAAAAAACATCGGCATTACAATTAAGTAACAAAATAGCAGTTCAAGTAAAACATACAGATTTATCCTATAAAGATAAAAGCAGGTTTAAGACCGAAATACTAGTTGAAAAAAATGATCATGATATTAATGAAAATGACTTAAATGAGACAAATTCTTATGAACATGCTACTTTTAATATTTTGAGTAAATTGGGGCAAAGTGTAGAACTAAATGAAGCCTTAAGATCATCCGATGTCAACGATCATGTGGAAGGTAACAATTATACTGGGCGGCAAGAAGTCTTTAAAAAAGAGGATCTGCTAGATATTTTGCAAGGAAAGAATGTAGAATCTTCTGACAAAGAAGTAGTTGAATAAATTTACATAATTACTGTCAATTCTAAATCTTTAGAAGCACAGTTAACTTTACAACAACTCACACGACTGAAAAAAATAAAAAGAAAAGGAGCACAGAAATGGAATTTATTTATAAGGATGACCTTTTTGGGAATTTCGAATTGATTTTACCGAAGTGGTTGATCCTTGACGTCAAGAAACCTGGTAATAAGAGACACCCCGTTCATAGTAAGTGATATACGGAGATGGAAAAATAAAAGGGAAGAGAAAAAGGATAATAAAAATCAACAAACAATACAATGAGCAATGATGGTTGGAAAGGATGACATTAAAGACTTGACATTCGTTATAAACTCTGCGATCAAAATCATGATAGAGTTGCAATGAGAGTTCCTAATTTTGATGAGTTTTAATTCATATTGAATAAAATTCTTCACATATTTCACATTTATTATTTATACTCTAGTTCTCCAGTACTTTAAAACATACAGCTGATCGCCGTATTATTATGTTTTTTTTGCTTTTGCTAAAATACGCTACTTGCTTACGCTAATTATGAATTGAAATGTATTTATTGGTGGAATAATGTAATCCTCGACATGTTTTTAATTTTAAAGTTAAAATTGCGTTTATTTGATTTATTTACCAACATATTAGATTACCCTGTTTAAAGTTTATTTGTAAGTCTTACTGTTGAATAAGAATTAGTCGCAAAATGGAAATTATATAATAGAAACACCTGAATTAAACTCATCTATTGATCAAGTAAAAAAACAGTGTTGTTATCGAAGAAAATGTAGAATGCATAGGACAGGATGTGTGTCACAAATCGAACGATGTCGTCAATATGCGTAAAGCTGGACTGGCTGAAGAAGACAATGTAATAACAGAAATGGTAATTACACAAGAAAGCGTCGAATTGATAGAATAAAATAATGAAGTAACTGTTGAAACAAATAAGGCAGAAACGTCACAGAAAATAGCGGCCATCCAAGGTCCTGACACATTAGCTATAAATGAAAACATTTCTTGCCAATTTGATCATAATACGGAAAAAGGGACGGATCAAACAAAAGAACCGAATACGGAAATCACAGTCAAAGACTTGGATAAAAAATCTACTATGAAATTGAAATTCAGTCAACTAATTCTGTTATAGAAGTTTCTAATACACAATCATCATCAGTTGAAGTTAATAAAAAAAAAAACATCGGCATTACAATTAAGTAACAAAATAGCAGTTCAAGTAAAACATACAGATTTATCCTATAAAGATAAAAGCAGGTTTAAGACCGAAATACTAGTTGAAAAAAATGATCATGATATTAATGAAAATGACTTAAATGAGACAAATTCTTATGAACATGCTACTTTTAATATTTTGAGTAAATTGGGGCAAAGTGTGGAACTAAATGAAGCCTTAAGATCATCCGATGTCAACGATCATGTGGAAGGTAACAATTGTACTGGGCGGCAAGAAGTCTTTAAAAAAGAGGATATGCTGGATATTTTGCAAGGAAAGAATGTAGAATCTTCTGACAAAGAAGTAGTTGAATAAATGGACATAATTACTGTCAATTCTAAATCTTTAGAAGCACAGTTAACTTTACAACAACTCACACGACTGAAAAAAGTAAAAAGAAAAGGAGCACAGAAATGGAATTTATATATAAGGATGACCTTTTTGGGAATTTCGAATTGATTTTACCGAACTGGTCGGTCCTTGACGTCAAGAAACCTGGTAATAAGAGACACCCCGTTCATAGTAAGTGATATACGGAGATGGAAAAATAAAAGGGAAGAGAAAAAAGAAAAATAAAAATCAACAAACAATACAATGAGCAATGATGGTTGGAAAGGATGACATTAAAGACTTGACATTACTTATACACTCTGCGATCAAAATCATGATAGAGTTGCAATGAGAGTTCCTAATTTTGATGAGTTTTAATTCCTATTGAATAAAATTCTTCACATATTTCACATTTATTATTTATACTCTAGTTTTCCAGTACTTTAAAACACACAGCTGATCGCCGTATTATTATGTTTTTTTTGCTTTTGCTAAAATACGCTACTTGCTTACGCTAATTATGAATTGAAATGTATTTATTGGTGGAATAATGTAATCCTCGACATGTTTTTAATTTTAAAGTTAAAATTGCGTTTATTTGATTTATTTACCAACATATTAGATTAACCTGTTAAAAGTTTATTTGTAAGTCTTACTGTTGAATAAGAATTAGTCGCAAAATGGAAGTTATAAAAGAAATACCTGAATTAAACTCATCTATTGATCAAGTAAAAAACAATGTTGTTATCGAAGAAACTGTAGAATGCATACGACAGGATGTGTGTCACAAATCGAACGGTGTCGTCGATATGCGTAAAGCTGGACTGGCTGAAGACGACAATATAATAACAGAAATGGTAATTACACAAGAAAGCGTCGAATTGATAGAATAAAATAATGAAGTAACTGTTGAAACAAATAAGGCAGAAACGTCACAGAAAATAGCGGCCGTCCAAGGTCCTGACACATTAACTATAAATGAAAACATTTCTAGCCAATCTGATCATAATACGAAAAAGGGACGGATCAAACAAAAGAACCGAATACGGAAATCACAGTCAAAGACTTGGATAAAAAATCTACTGTTAAATTGAATTTCAGTCAACTAATTCTGTTATAGAAGTTTCTAATACACAATCATCATCAGTTGAAGTTAATAAAAAAAACATCGGCATTACAATTAAGTAACAAAATAGCAGTTCAAGTAAAACATACAGATTTATCCTATAAAGATAAAAGCAGGTTTAAGACCGAAATACTAGTTGAAAAAAATGATCATGATATTAATGAAAATGACTTAAATGAGACAAATTCTTATGAACATGCTACTTTTAATATTTTGAGTAAATTGGGGCAAAGTGTGGAACTAAATGAAGCCTTAAGATCATCCGATGTCAACGATCATGTGGAAGGTAACAATTATACTGGGCGGCAAGAAGTCTTTAAAAAGAGAATCTGCTAGATATTTTGCAAGGAAAGAATGTAGAATCTTCTGACAAAGAAGTAGTTGAATAAATTTACATAATTACTGTCAATTCTAAATCTTTAGAAGCACAGTTAACTTTACAACAACTCACACGACTGAAAAAAATAAAAAGAAAAGGAGCACAGAAATGGAATTTATTTATAAGGATGACCTTTTTGGGAATTTCGAATTGATTTTACCGAAGTGGTTGATCCTTGACGTCAAGAAACCTGGTAATAAGAGACACCCCGTTCATAGTAAGTGATATACGGAGATGGAAAAATAGAAGGGAAGAGAAAAAGGATAATAAAAATCAACAAACAATACAATGAGCTATGATGGTTTGAAAGGATGACATTAAAGACTTGACATTCGTTATACACTCTGCGATCAAAATCATGATAGAGTTGCAATGAGAGTTCCTAATTTTGATGAGTTTTAATTCATATTGAATAAAATTCTTCACATATTTCACATTTATTATTTATACTCTAGTTCTCCAGTACTTTAAAACATACAGCTGATCGCCGTATTATTATGTTTTTTTGCTTTTGCTAAAATACGCTACTTGCTTACGCTAATTATGAATTGAAATGTATTTATTGGTGGAATAATGTAATCCTCGACATGTTTTTAATTTTAAAGTTAAAATTGCGTTTATTTGATTTATTTACCAACATATCAGATTACCCTGTTAAAAGTTTATTTGTAAGTCTTACTGTTGAATAAGAATTAGTCGCAAAATGGAAATTATAGTAGAAACACCTGAATTAAACTCATCTATTGATCAAGTAAAAAACCAATGTTGTTATCGAAGAAAATGTAGAATGCATAGGGCAGGATGTGGTTCACAAATCGAACGGTGTCGTCGATATGCGTAAAGCTGGACTGGCTGAAGACGACGATATAATAACAGAAATGGTAATTACACAAGAAACCGTCGAATTGATAGAATAAAATAATGAAGTAACTGTTGAAACAATTAAGGCAGAAACGTCCAGAAAATAGCGGCCGTCCAAGGTCCTGACACATTAGCTATAAATGAAAACATTTCTAGCCAATCTGATCATAATACGAAAAAAGGGACGGATCAAACAAAAGAACCGAATACGGAAATCACAGTCAAAGACTTGGATAGAAAATCTACTATGAAATTGAAATTCAGTCAACTAATTCTGTTATAGAAGTTTCTAATACACAATCATCATCAGTTGAAGTTAATAACAAAAAACATCGGCATTACAATTAAGTAACAAAATAGCAGTTCAAGTAAAACATACAGATTTATCCTATAAAGATAAAAGCAGGTTTAAGACCGAAATACTAGTTGAAAAAAATGATCATGATATTAATGAAAATGACTTAAATGAGACAAATTTTTATGAACATGCTACTTATAATATTTTGAGTAAATTGGGGCAAAGTGTAGAACTAAATGAAGCCTTAAGATCATCCGATGTCAACGATCATGTGGAAGGTAACAATTGTACTGGGCGGCAAGAAGTCTTTAAAAAAGAGGATCTGCTAGATATTTTGCAAGGAAAGAATGTAGAATCTTCTGACAAAGAAGTAGTTGAATAAATGTACATAATTACTGTCAATTCTAAATCTTTAGAAGCACAGTTAACTTTACAACAACTCACACGACTGAAAAAAATAAAAAGAAAAGGAGCACAGAAATGGAATTTATTTATAAGGATGACCTTTTTGGGAATTTCGAATTGATTTTACCGAACTATTCGATCCTTGACGTCAAGAAACCTGGTAATAAGAGACACCCCGTTCATAGTAAGTGATATACGGAGATGGAAAAGTAAATGGGAAGAGAAAAAGGATAATAAAAATCAACAAACAATACAATGAGCAATGATGGTTGGAAAGGATGACATTAAAGACTTGACATTCGTTATAAACTCTGCGATCAAAATCATGATAGAGTTGCAATGAGAGTTCCTAATTTTGATGAGTTTTAATTCATATTGAATAAAATTCTTCACATATTTCACATTTATTATTTATACTCTAGTTCTCCAGTACTTTAAAACATACAGCTGATCGCCGTATTATTATGTTTTTTTTTGCTTTTGCTAAAATACGCTACTTGCTTACGCTAATTATGAATTGAAATGTATTTATTGGTGGAATAATGTAATCCTCGACATGTTTTTAATTTTAAAGTTAAAATTGCGTTTATTTGATTTATTTACCAACATATCAGATTACCCTGTTAAAAGTTTATTTGTAAGTCTTAGTGTTGAATAAGAATTAGTCGCAAAATGGAAATTATAGTAGAAACACCTGAATTAAACTCTCTATTGATCAAGTAAAAAAACAGTGTTGTTATCGAAGAAACTGTAGAATGCATACGACAGGATGTGTGTCACAAATCGAACGGTGTCGTCGATATGCGTAAAGCTGGACTGGCTGAAGACGACAATATAATAACAGAAATGGTAATTACACAAGAAAGCGTCGAATTGATAGAATAAAATAATGAAGTTACTGTTGAAACAATTAAGGCAGAAACGTCACAGAAAATAGCGGCCGTCCAAGGTCCTGACACATTAGCTATAAATGAAAACATTTCTAGCCAATCTGATCATAATACGAAAAAAGGGACGGATCAAACAAAAGAACCGAATACGGAAATCACAGTCAAAGACTTGGATAGAAAATCTACTATGAAATTGAAATTCAGTCAACTAATTCTGTTATAGAAGTTTTTAATACACAATCATCATCAGTTGAAGTTAATAACAAAAAACATCGGCATTACAATTAAGTAACAAAATAGCAGTTCAAGTAAAACATACAGATTTATCCTATAAAGATAAAAGCAGGTTTAAGACCGAAATACTAGTTGAAAAAAATGATCATGATATTAATGAAAATGACTTAAATGAGACAAATTTTTATGAACATGCTACTTTTAATATTTTGAGTAAATTGGGGCAAAGTGTAGAACTAAATGAAGCCTTAAGATCATCCGATGTCAACGATCATGTGGAAGGTAACAATTGTACTGGGTGGCAAGAAGTCTTTAAAAAAGAGGATCTGCTAGATATTTTGCAAGGAAAGAATGTATAATCTTCTGACAAAGAAGTAGTTGAATAAATGTACATAATTACTGTCAATTCTAAATCTTTAGAAGCACAGTTAACTTTACAACAACTCACACGACTGAAAAAAATAAAAAGAAAAGGAGCACAGAAATGGAATTTATTTATAAGGATGACCTTTTTTGGGAATTTCGAATTGATTTTACCGAAGTGGTCGATCCTTGACGTCAAGAAACCTGGTAATAAGAGACACCCCGTTCATAGTAAGTGATATACGGAGATGGAAAAATAAATGGGAAGAGAAAAAGGAAAATAAAAATCAACAAACAATACAATGAGCAATGATGGTTTGAAAGGATGACATTAAAGACTTGACATTACTTATACTCTCTGCGATCAAAATCATGATAGAGTTGCAATGAGAGTTCCTAATTTTGATGAGTTTTAATTCATATTGAATAAAATTCTTCACATATTTCACATTTATTATTTATACTCTAGTTCTCCAGTACTTTAAAACATACAGCTGATCACCGTATTATTATGTTTTTTTGCTTTTGCTAAAATACGCTACTTGCTTACGCTAATTATGAATTGAAATGTATTTATTGGTGGAATAATGTAATCCTCGACATGTTTTTAATTTTAAAGTTAAAATTGCGTTTATTTGATTTATTTACCAACATATTAGATTAACCTGTTAAAAGTTTATTTGTAAGTCTTAGTGTTGAATAAGAATTAGTCGCAAAATGGAAGTTATAGAAGAAACACCTGAATTAAACTCTCTATTGATCAAGTAAAAAAACAGTGTTGTTATCGAAGAAAATGTAGAATGCATAGGGCAGGATGTGTTTCACAAATCGAACGGTGTCGTCGATATGCGTAAAGCTGGACTGGCTGAAACACTTATCCAAGAAAGCGTCGAATTGATAAATAAAATAATGAAGTAACTGTTTCATTGATTCATCAATGAAAACATTTCTAGCCATCTGTCTAACGAAAAAGGGACGGATCAAACAAAAGAACCGAATACGGAAATCACAGTCAAAGACTTGGATAAAAAATCTACTATGAAATTGAAATTCAGTCAACTAATTCTGTTATAGAAGTTTCTAATACACAATCATCATCTGTTGAAGTTAATAACAAAAAACATCGGCATTACAATTAAGTAACAAAATAGCAGTTCAAGTAAAACATACAGATTTATCCTATAAAGATAAAAGCAGGTTTAAGACCGAAATACTAGTTGAAAAAAATGATCATGATATTAATGAAAATGACTTAAATGAGACAAATTCTTATGAACATGCTACTTATAATATTTTGAGTAAATTGGGGCAAAGTATAGAACTAAATGAAGCCTTAAGATCATCCGATGTCAACGATCATGTGGAAGGTAACAATTGTACTGGGCGGCAAGAAGTCTTTAAAAAAGAGGAACTGCTAGATATTTTGCAAGGAAAGAATGTAGAATCTTCTGACAAAGAAGTAGTTGAATAAATGGACATAATTACTGTCAATTCTAAATCTTTAGAAGCACAGTTAACTTTACAACAACTCACACGACTGAAAAAAATAAAAAGAAAAGGAGCACAGAAATGGAATTTATTTATAAGGATGACCTTTTTGGGAATTTCGAATTGATTTTACCGAACTGGTTGATTCTTGACGTCAAGAAACCTGGTAATAAGAGACACCCCGTTCATAGTAAGTGATATACGGAGATGGAAAAATAAAAGGGAAGAGAAAAAGGATAATAAAAATCAACAAACAATACAATGAGCAATGATGGTTTGAAAGGATGACATTAAAGACTTGACATTACTTATAAACTCTGCGATCAAAATCATGATAGAGTTGCAATGAGAGTTCCTAATTTTGATGAGTTTTAATTCATATTGAATAAAATTCTTCACATATTTCACATTTATTATTTATACTCTAGTTCTCCAGTACTTTAAAACACACAGCTGATCGCCGTATTATTATGTTTTTTTGCTTTTGCTAAAATACGCTACTTGCTTACGCTAATTATGAATTGAAATGTATTTATTGGTGGAATAATGTAATCCTCGACATGTTTTTAATTTTAAAGTTAAAATTGCGTTTATTTGATTTATTTACCAACATATTAGATTACCCTGTTTAAAGTTTATTTGTAAGTCTTAGTGTTGAATAAGAATTAGTCGCAAAATGGAAATTATAAAAGAAACACCTGAATTAAACTCTCTAATGATCAAGTAAAAAACAGTGTTGTTATCGAAGAAACTGTAGAATGCATACGACAGGATGTGTGTCACAAATCGAACGGTGTCGTCGATATGCGTAAAGCTGGACTGGCTGAAGACGACAATATAATAACAGAAATGGTAATTACGCAAGAAAGCGTCGAATTGATAGAATAAAATAATGAAGTAACTGTTGAAACAAATAAGGCAGAAACGTCACAGAAAATAGCGGCCGTCCAAGGTCCTGACACATTAACTATAAATGAAAACATTTCTAGCCAATCTGATCATAATACGAAAAAGGGACGGATCAAACAAAAGAACCGAATACGGAAATCACAGTCAAAGACTTGGATAGAAAATCTACTATGAAATTGAAATTCAGTCAACTAATTCTGTTATAGAAGTTTCTAATACACAATCATCATCAGTTGAAGTTAATAACAAAAAAACATCGGCATTACAATTAAGTAACAAAATAGCAGTTCAAGTAAAACATACAGATTTATCCTATAAAGATAAAAGCAGGTTTAAGACCGAAATACTAGTTGAAAAAAATGATCATGATATTAATGAAAATGACTTAAATGAGAAAAATTTTTCTGAACATGCTACTTATAATATTTTGAGTAAATTGGGGCAAAGTATAGAACTAAATGAAGCCTTAAGATCATCCGATGTCAACGATCATGTGGAAGGTAACAATTGTACTGGGTGGCAAGAAGTCTTTAAAAAAGAGGAACTGCTAGATATTTTGCAAGGAAAGAATGTAGAATCTTCTGACAAAGAAGTAGTTGAATAAATGTACATAATTACTGTCAATTCTAAATCTTTACAAGCACAGTTAACTTTACAACAACTCACACGACTGAAAAAAATAAAAAGAAAAGGAGCACAGAAATGGAATTTATTTATAAGGATGACCTTTTTGGGAATTTCGAATTGATTTTACCGAAGTGGTTGATTCTTGACGTCAAGAAACCTGGTAATAAGAGACACCCCGTTCATAGTAAGTGATATACGGAGATGGAAAAGTAAATGGGAAGAGAAAAAGAAAAATAAAAATCAACAAACAATAAAATGAGCAATGATGGTTTGAAAGGATGACACTAAAGAGTTGACCTTACTTATACACTCTGCGATCAAAATCATGATAGAGTTGCAATGAGAGTTCCTAATTTTGATGAGTTTTAATTCATATTGAATAAAATTCTTCACATATTTCACATTTATTATTTATACTCTAGTTCTCCAGTACTTTAAAACACACAGCTGATCGCCGTATTATTATGTTTTTTTGCTTTTGCTAAAATACGCTACTTGCTTACGCTAATTATGAATTGAAATGTATTTATTGGTGGAATAATGTAATCCTCGACATGTTTTTAATTTTAAAGTTAAAATTGCGTTTATTTGATTTATTTACCAACATATCAGATTACCCTGTTAAAAGTTTATTTGTAAGTCTTAGTGTTGAATAAGAATTAGTCGCAAAATGGAAATTATAATAGAAACACCTGAATTAAACTCTCTAATGATCAAGTAAAAAACAGTGTTGTTATCGAAGAAACTGTAGAATGCATACGACAGGATGTGTGTCACAAATCGAACGGTGTCGTCGATATGCGTAAAGCTGGACTGGCTGAAGACGACAATATAATAACAGAAATGGTAATTACACAAGAAAGCGTCGAATTGATAGAATAAAATAATGAAGTAACTGTTGAAACAAATAAGGCAGAAACGTCACAGAAAATAGCGGCCGTCCAAGGTCCTGACACATTAACTATAAATGAAAACATTTCTAGCCAATCTGATCATAATACGAAAAAGGGACGGATCAAACAAAAGAACCGAATACGGAAATCACAGTCAAAGACTTGGATAGAAAATCTACTATGAAATTGAAATTCAGTCAACTAATTCTGTTATAGAAGTTTCTAATACACAATCATCATCAGTTGAAGTTAATAACAAAAAACATCGGCATTACACAATTAAGTAACAAAATAGCAGTTGAAGTAAACCATACAGATTTATCCTATAAAGATAAAAGCAGGTTTAAGACTGAAATACTAGTTGAAAAAAATGATAATGATATTAATGAAAATGACTTAAATGAGAAAAATTTTTCTGAACATGCTACTTATAATATTTTGAGTAAATTGGGGCAAAGTATAGAACTAAATGAAGCCTTAAGATCATCCGATGTCAACGATCATGTGGAAGGTAACAATTATACTGGGCGGCAAGAAGTCTTTAAAAAAGAGGAACTGCTAGATATTTTGCAAGGAAAGAATGTAGAATCTTCTGACAAAGAAGTAGTTGAATAAATTGACATAATTACTGTCAATTCTAAATCTTTAGAAGCACAGTTAACTTTACAACAACTCACACGACTGAAAAAAATAAAAAGAAAAGGAGCACAGAAATGGAATTTATTTATAAGGATGACCTTTTTGGGAATTTCGAATTGATTTTACCGAACTGGTTGATTCTTGACGTCAAGAAACCTGGTAATAAGAGACACCCCGTTCATTGTAAGTGATATACGGAGATGGAAAAGTAAATGGGAAGAGAAAAAGAAAAATAAAAATCAACAAACAATAAAATGAGCAATGATGGTTTGAAAGGATGACATTAAAGACTTGACATTACTTATAAACTCTGCGATCAAAATCATGATAGAGTTGCAATGAGAGTTCCTAATTTTGATGAGTTTTAATTCATATTGAATAAAATTCTTCACATATTTCACATTTATTATTTATACTCTAGTTCTCCAGTACTTTAAAACACACAGCTGATCGCCGTATTATTATGTTTTTTTTGCTTTTGCTAAAATACGCTACTTGCTTACGCTAATTATGAATTGAAATGTATTTATTGGTGGAATAATGTAATCCTCGACATGTTTTTAATTTTAAAGTTAAAATTGCGTTTATTTGATTTATTTACCAACATATTAGATTAACCTGTTGTATTTGTAAGTCTTACTGTTGAATAAGAATTAGTCGCAAAATGGAAGTTATAGAAGAAACACCTGAATTAAACTCATCTATTGATCAAGTAAAAAAAACAATGTTGTTATCGAAGAAAATGTAGAATGCATAGGGCAGGATGTGGTTCACAAATCGAACGGTGTTGTCGATATGCGTAAAGCTGGACTGGCTGAAGAAGATAATGAAATAACAGAAATGGTAATTACACAAGAAAGCGTCGAATTGATAGAATAAAATAATGAAGTTACTGTTGAAACAATTAAGGCAGAAACGTCACAGAAAATAGCGGCCGTCCAAGGTCCTGACATATTAGCTATAAATGAAAACATTTCGAGCCAATCTGATCATAATACGAAAAAAGGGACAGATCAAACAAAAGAACCGAATACGGAAATCACAGTCAAAGACTTGGATAAAAAATCTACTATGAAATTGAAATTCAGTCAACTAATTCTGTTATAGAAGTTTCTAATACACAATCATCATCAGTTGAAGTTAATAAAAAAAACATCGGCATTACAATTAAGTAACAAAATAGCAGTTCAGGTAAAACATACAGATTTATCCTATAAAGATAAAAGCAGGTTTAAGACCGAAATACTAGTTGAAAAAAATGATCATGATATTAATGAAAATGACTTAAATGAGACAAATTCTTATGAACATGCTACTTTTAATATTTTGAGTTCATTGGGGCAAAGTATAGAACTAAATGAAGCCTTAAGATCATCCGATGTCAACGATCATGTGCATGGTAACAATTATACTGGGCGGCAAGAAGTCTTTAAAAAGGAGGATCTGCTAGATATTTTGCAAGGAAAGAATGTAGAATCTTCTGACAAAGAAGTAGTTGAATAAATTTACATAATTACTGTCAATTCTAAATCTTTAGAAGCACAGTTAACTTTACAACAACTCACACGACTGAAAAAAGTAAAAAGAAAAGGAGCACAGAAATGGAATTTATTTATAAGGATGACCTTTTTGGGAATTTCGAATTGATTTTACCGAAGTGGTCGGTTCTTGACGTCAAGAAACCTGGTAATAAGAGACACCCCGTTCATAGTAAGTGATATACGGAGATGGAAAAGTAAAAGGGAAGAGAAAAAGGAAAATAAAAATCAACAAACAATACAATGAGCAATGATGGTTGGAAAGGATGACATTAAAGGCTTGACGTTACTTATACACTCTGCGATCAAAATTATGATAGAGTTGCAATGAGAGTTCCTTATTTTGATGAGTTTTAATTCATATTGAATAAAATTCTTCACATATTTCACATTTATTATTTATACTCTAGTTCTCCAGTACTTTAAAACACACAGCTGATCGCCGTATTATTATGTTTTTTTGCTTTTGCTAAAATACGCTACTTGCTTACGCTAATTATGAATTGAAATGTATTTATTGGTGGAATAATGTAATCCTCGACATGTTTTTAATTTTAAAGTTAAAATTGCGTTTATTTGATTTATTTACCAACATATCAGATTACCCTGTTAAAAGTTTATTTGTAAGTCTTAGTGTTGAATAAGAATTAGTCGCAAAATGGAAATTATAAAAGAAACACCTGAATTAAACTCTCCATTGATCAAGTAAAGAACAGGGTTGTTATCGAAGAAACTGTAGAATGCATACGACAGGATGTGTGTCACAAATCCAACGGTGTCGTCGATATGCGTAAAGCTGGACTGGCTGAGGACGACAATATAATAACAGAAATGGTAATTACACAAGAAAGCGTCGAATTGATAGAATAAAATAATGAAGTAACTGTTGATACAAATAAGGCAGAAACGTCACAGAAAATAGCGGCCGTCCAAGGTCCTGACACATTAACTATAAATGAAAACATTTCTAGCCAATCTGATCATAATACGAAAAAAGGGACGGATCAAACAAAAGAACCGAATACGGAAATCACAGTCAAAGATTTGGATAAAAAATCTACTATGAAATTGAAATTCAGTCAACTAATTTTGTTATAGAATTTTCTAATACACAATCATCATCAGTTGAAGTTAATAAAAAAAAAACATCGGCATTACAATTAAGTAACAAAATAGCAGTTGAAGTAAACCATACAGATTTATCCTATAAAGATAAAAGCAGGTTTAAGGCCGAAATAAAATAATATAAAGGCGCTGCAATATGCAATCGGGGAAGTATTGAATTTGGCGAGACAAGCAAAGCTTCGGAGCGGAATAAAGTGAATCAGTGTGATTAATTATTAATGTTTTATGTTAAAATTTGTGTAAAGAAAATTAAAGTGTTAATTTAGGTAATTTTATCGACAATTTTTACTGTCGCGAACCTCAAGCTCGTAACAATTGGTGGCAGAATTGGGATAAAATCATGCCGATTTTACCTAAGGAGGAAACGGAGGGTGTCCGTACCCGAAGTCAACGCCAGCAGGAGACGGACCAAAGAAGATTTGGTGGTGCAACGCCGCAGACTTCGGAAGGCCAGCCGCCGGCTGCAGGCCCGTCAGTAGCTCCTACATCTGCAGCACCTGACTTAGGTGCTCTGATGGTGATGCTGCAGGAGCAGGCTTGCCGACAGGAGGGACAGGCTCGCCGACTGGAGGAGGAACAGGCGTGCCGACAGGAGGAACAGGCTCGCTGACAGGAGGAACAGGTCCGTCGGTTGGAAGAGCAGCTGCGGGGCGGATAGGATGAACACTCCCGCCGACAAGAGGAACAGGCCCGCCGACAGGAGGAACAGGCCCGTCGCTTGGAAGATCAGCAGGCGGAACAAGCTCGTCGTTCGGAAGAGCAGATGCTCCTCATGAAGGACCTTCATGCTACCTGTGGGAAAGAGATAAGGGAGGTGAAGGATAGGGTTGCTCAACATGACGACCGCCCTTCGGAAGCTGAAACCCAAATCAAGGAAGCTAAAACCCAAATCGACCAAGTTAACAATCGGGTTGATTACGTGATGGCTGACGTGAAGAAAACGCTGGACGACATCAAACTGGTTGATGGAACTACAGCTCCCGTAGTAGCTACTACACCTTCGCTACGTGGGTTCAAAGTGCCACCATTCGACGGGACTTCTTCCTGGTTAGCCTCCAAAATCCAGTTCGAGGCTGTTATGAAGGTGAACTGCTGGAATAAAAGTCAGGCCATGACTGCTCTCATACTAGGCCTGCGCGACCAGGCCTTAACAGTTCTAGAAGCTCTCGGTGAGGAAGTGACTTATGAGCAACTCCTTGAGGCATTGGAGGCGAGATATGGCGACGCTCACCTGGAGCACGTCTTTCGTGCGCAGCTTAAAGATCACGTGCAGCACATCAACGAAAACCTGCAGCAGTGGGCTCTAGAGGTGGAAAAGCTGGAGCGAAAAGCATACCGGTCTGTACCTGCGCTCATTGAAGGGAACCTGGTGTAGACATTCATCGACGGCATCCGCGACCTGGAAGTCAGAGCTGCTGTGAGGCTCGGGCACAACGGGACGCTTAAGGACGCCTTGGCCCATGCACTGGAGGTGGAAGCCGTGCGGCAGGATCATCGTTCCCATCGCGTCAGGGAGGTTGCAGCAGCTACAGTTCGCGACTACAACAAAGGATACAGCCCTAGGTGCTATGGCTATAGGCAAAGGGGCCATCTTCGATCCAGCTGCCCTAAGCGAACCGTAGAAAGGGAATTTGATCAATCTCGAGAGAGTAGTGCAGCTAACGGCACCGCCTGGCGGCGTCAGAATCTTCGTTCCCCTCACGTTAGGGAGGTTGCAGCAGTTACGGTTCGCGACCACAATAAAGGATACAGCCCTAGGTGCTATGGCTGTGGGCCCTAGAAAGGGAAGGTGAACGATCTCAGAAGGGAAGTGCGGCTAACATCACCGCCCAGCAGCAGCCGGGATACGACTTTACTATCAGACATCGCAGCGGGAAATCTCATGGCAACGCAGATGCATTGCCAAGAAGACTTTGTTCTGAAGATTGGAAACATTGTACTAGGCAAGAGGGTAAGGAAGTGGTATCCGTGAGGATGCTCAGGACAGACCACCTCAGCAACGAGTGGAAGGACAGCCTACTACATGCACAGCAGGAAGATCTGGACATCAAGCTCTGGAATGGATAAAGGCCAGTGCTCCCAAGCCCAAGTGGAGCGACGTCTCAGCGATGAGTTCGACCACTAAAAGCTATTGGGCCCAGTGCGACAGCTTGCTGCTTCAGGATGGAGTTCTGTGTCGTAAATGGGAAAATGTTCGGGGGAGACAGCTGTCATTTGCAAATGGTTGTCCCTAAAGCTAAAGTACCGGATGTTCTACAGCTGTACCATAATGATTGTTCAGGAGGCCATCTGGGAGTTAAACGAACTCTACTGAAGATCCGAGAACGGTTTTACTGGGTCCACTGTCGAAACGATGTCGAGGACTGGTGTCGCAAATGTACAAGTTGTGCGGCTGTAAAGGGACCTCAGACTCGTAGTAGAGGTGCATTGAAGTTGTACAATGTTGGTGCACCATGGTAGAGAATAGCCATTGACATGGTGGGACCGTTTCCGGAGAGTGAAAGCGGTAACAAGTATTTCATGGTTGTGATGGATTACTTCACTAAGTGGCCAGAAGTCTTCGCCATTTCAAATCAAGAAGCTTCAACAGTTGCGGATAAGCTAGTTCATGAAGTTTTCTGTCGTTTTGGAGTACCTTTAGAGATTCACAGCGATCAAGGAAGGAATTTTGAGTCTCAAATATTTCAGGAAACTTGCCGAGTTATGGGTACTCACAAAACAAGAACGACTTCTTATCACCCGCAATCTGATGGAATGGTAGAACGATTTAATCAGATATTGGAGAGGTACCTAGCAAAAGTTGTAGACAATCGGCAACGAGATTGGGACAAGCACATACAAGTCCCCTTTTCGTTGTCATATCGAAGCGCTGTTCACGAAAGTACAGCAGTGACACCAGCTTTCGCAAACTTTGGAAGAGAATTACGGCTGCCTGCGGACCTGATCACCGGGATACCACCTGATGCCCCACGCAGTATAACCGATTATGCAAATGACTTGCGGAACAAAATGAATGACATTTATGAGCACGTCAGACAATCGGGCCAGCAAATGTCTGAGAAGATGAAAACCCGGTACGACCGCAAAATAAACAATAAAGGCTTCGACGAAGGTTCACTAGTGTGGTTACACAATCCAGTCCGCAGCAAATGGAAATCTCCTAAGCTTCAAGCTAAATGGGACGGCCCGTACCGGATTGTAACCAGGATCAACGATGTAACCTACCGGATACAGAAAGGCGCAAGAGGGGCTCCTAAGATCGTCCATGTGGATCGCCTGGCGCGTTATTATGGGGCCGATAATGCTCGGGACGAGCATGTCTTAGGAGGGGAAAGTTTTGCGCGGCTAAGTTGACATCTGGCACTAGCGCCATCTAGTGTCGGGTAACAGAGCGAAGAGAGAGCTTTCCAGAAAATGACATCACTAATCTTTCAACCGACAGCGCCATCTAGTATCGAATTGAAGAACTAAGCTTTCTGGAAGCCCCACACTCGAACTTTCTGCGCTTGGTCGGTTGGCGCGCGTATTTACTCGAATATTCTGGAATATTCTGGATGTTTTCGTGGAAGAGCCCTATATAAAGGCGCTGCAATACGCGATCGGGGAAGTATTGAATTTGGCGAGACAAGCGAAGCTTCGGAGCGGAATAAAGTGAATCAGTGTGATTAATTATTAGTGTTTTAAGTTTAAATTTGTGTAAAGAAAATTAAAGTGTTAATTTAGGTAATTTTATCGGCAATTTTTATTGTCACGAACCTCAAGCTCGTAACAATATCATATTTGATCCTCCTCACCTCATTATAGGTCTAAGAAATAATTTTCTTGACAAAAATATAGTAT